ATTAGCCCATCGTGGTTGTAAATAATGAATTCAATTCAATATTTGGGGTTACCTGGGGTTTAAATTGGTACTGATCTTAGTCTAATGTTTCCAATTTCAGGAATTGAAACACATTACTGTATGCCTTTGCCAGCATGCAAAATGTTAATCTTGATAGATTACATTAATCTTTATGGAGAGCACTTTTTGCTCCACTTATATTTCAGGATCTTAACTCCTCAACATAAGGATGCTTTAGCTCTTTATATTGAGAACACTGCACATTTATTTTAATTGGATAACTGAGCTTTTCTGCTTACTGAGCTGTCTGCCTGACATTTGCAAAATGCAGCTTTTTTTCCCCAACATAACCTAACTGTTCATTTTTATAAGGCCTGTCATCCAAAAGGCAGAACCTAATCCTTAATTAGTTGTCATATGTGTTTAGATGTTATACATCATGCATTGGACTGAACTGTTTGGTTTACTGTCCTTTCATAACGTCCATTAAATTATTATTTTTGCATTCATTTATGTTTTATTTAACAGTTTTCCTGTGTACTGAACTCCTGACTTATAGGCCTTTTGCTAAACATTAAATTGGTTAGGCATGCAGGCTGCCCAGGCAATGCATGGGTAAGTCAAAGCTAACAGAAAGCAAATTAAACCAAGTCATAAGCAGTGCTGAGAAGCAGACTGGAGTGCTGTGAAGTACCTTAAACACAATGAGCTATTCTCCAGTTTGGATTTTCAGCTGTAAATCTCTTTTGGAATGAGGACCCTACAACAAGCCAACCTGTCTCATGGCAAAGAAAAGGGACACTTCACTGTCATTCGATCCCTGTTAAGCAAGCAATGGGGTCATGGGGGCATCCTTTCACTCTGACTGATGTGGAACAGGGACTGGAATCCAGGGCAGAGTCCAAATCAACAGACTATTGAAGAAGTGTTTCTCAATGACTAATTACTTAAGTAAAATGGAAAGTCTTTAATAGAAGAACTGAGAACGACTTGACATAATATACAAATAGCAGCTACATGTGGAAAAGAAACCATTCCTGTATGAAGTTGAGCCAAGAGAAGATTTTTAAAACTTTCTCCCACATATATTTGTGAGTGCTTTGAGCATGGTTTCAGTGAGCATGGCTCCACCTCCCCTTCCACCCAAACTCTCATTCTTAGTACCCCTACCTAACTGGGTACTGCAAACCACATAAACCAAGATCACATACCTTGAGCACCCTGATAGGATATCAGGTAGGAATCTGAAAAGTTTGGCAGCATCTGCTGTAGAGACCTAAACAACAGCGAAACAACAGCTAAACAACAGGAGCTCCTGGCCCTGAATGCTGCCTGACTGGACACTAAAATGACATTTCCAGGTCCCTTCATGGATATAATTCGAAGTATCTGCTCTTCGCGAATGGGTAATCTGCATGTTTTATTGCTCTGTTGCATAGCAGGAGTTATATCCTAGCCAACTAAAGCAAGTGGTGAAATGCTCAGGTAGTCACATCACTGTTTCAACTACACTGCCATTGCATTAGACTCATCCTTTGTCTTGATATAGGAAACGTACCCACATACTTAAATACAAACCAACATGAAATAAAAACCTTTCTTTTCCAAGTAAGAAAATAAATACCAGCTCTTGGATGTAGAAGTACTTTTAATCTTTTTCCTCCCTATGCTAATCTCAGTCTTATCTCATTAGAAGAAAAGATTCAAGTTGATGATATACTGGCACGTAGTACCTAGATTTTTTTCTGCTCCTAGCCTGGGTCCATTGTGCTCTTTGTGAAGTGCTGCAAGACAATTATTGGTATGCAGAGGACTAGGTAAGTGCTGGAGAGGCATAAAAGCTGCTGGAGAACAATTTCCCTTTCAGACAAAAAGCAAACATCTCCATTGCTGTATGAATCAAGTGGTAAGGACAAATTCTAGTCTGAAAAGACGTGGCATAAAGCTCAAGTTATAGTGAGAGGTGAAGCGTATGCCCTTTAGGAATAAATGAAGCATTATGATAAACTTTTATAATACTGGTAAGATGACTGTTTTTGATGACACTTTCATAAATTCTTCAAAGACCTCCCAAAATCATTGTCTCCCTTCTGATCTCACCTCCCACTCAAATCTTCTCTTCCTACTGAAACAAGGTTGCTTTTTATTTTTTTTCTTCTTTTTTTCTTCTCTCCTCTCCACCTACCAAAATGATGATATTTCAGCTCTACTTCAGGGAGGAAATAATTTGAACAGCCTTTTTTCCTCATGCATCTGTACTGTAAAATTGAAAAAATGTGGCAATAGGAACATGTCAAACTTGCAAAAAATCACTTGAGGTAAGAAACTGCAATATGGCACAACAGCAATTCAAACTGAAGACGAAGTTCCCAGAAAGTTAAAGGAAATTAAATTCTAGTTAAAATACTCCACATTTTACCCAAATAGGAAGCTAATAAACATGGACATGGTATACAGGGACAGTTCTAAGATTTCCTAAAAAGATTCAATTTAAACTTTACTATACGATCTGCCACAATTAAAGCAGTATTAGAACTTCAAATAATTGGAAAAAATACCCTGAAAAGCTTACTGCATTTTCTTTTTCTTCTCTTGGTTACACATGATGTTTTGCTTATTCTCCGGCCAATTGTTCAATAAATACAAAGTTTTTGTTCATTTAGCATGTGTTGGCTACTTGGTCAAGAAAGGAAGCACTACTGCATTAAATCATAAATAATGATACCAGACAACATGTAGATGAATCCAACCACATGAAAATTATGTGGCGTTTCAGGTTCTGTGTGTGTGGTGTGTCCCACTCACGTTTATCTATTCACATGCTTCTCACCTTCCTTCAGTCTAAACCTTACTCACTGTTACTACCTTTGTCATTTCATCCCGCCACCAAAGGAAACACTGCCATTATATTCCTCATGCATGGTGTGGAGAAGAATACACTTGAACATTTAGTGCTCATATTTCATATAGAGATATAAAGCAAGCATAACGTAATACCTCTCCACCATTCCTGTCAAACATCAGGGTTCCTTCTCTTCACCTTTTCAGAAGGATCCAAGCACTTTTTAGAGTAAAGCTTGCTGCTAAACTGCAAAACATGCAATATTTAATCCCTTATTTTTATGTCTTCTCTTCCTCTGCTAAATTACAGTATAATAGGAACCAAGGTAGAAGAGTTGTATAGTTCTGTTTGCATGCATGTGACATGATTAATGCCACATTAAACTCATCAGCCTCATCATGGCCTTTTAGACTGATGGGTAAGTAAGTCTAGACCTACAAGCACATGGTTGTCTTTGCTACGACTTGGATGACAAACCTGGGAGTGACAAGAAGGAGCCTTCCAGAACTGCAGAAATTTCACTGTTGTTTTCAGATCAACAGAGTTATCTTTCCTTCCTCCCCTGTACTTGAAGGTGCACAGAAATAGAAGCTGTCCATGAAAAAGACAGCTAAACAGCAGGCTAACTCCCATCCATCACCAGAGAGAAGTAGGGCAGGGCCCAGTTGAGAGCAGCGGGCACATACTCATAGTAACTGGCCCTCCCCAGTAATTGGTGCTCCCTGAACAGCACTTGGCTGAGCAGCTACAGTCACATTTCATCTCAGAGGTCAGGTGCAGTTCAGTGGTATTTTTGTGATCCACTTCGATGAAATGTCCTGTTTAAATGCAGTCAGTTTGGAAGATGCCTTTTTTCTTCCTATGAACAAAAACCAACTCCTCCTCATGTATCATGCAGTGTTGCCTGAAAAATACATCTGATACTGGATTAAACTTGCCTTTTGGGGAAGCAAACCTTCAACCCAGTCCCGTGCTGCATCTCATCGTTCTCGCCTCTGAAAAGCAGCAGCAGCCAAGCTTGGGCCCGCTGACGAGGTTATTGCCCCCCATCCCACCCACGCGCACAGACACGGACACAGACACCCAGGCGCGGCAGCCCCGCTCCCTGCGCCAGCCTGCGCTCCTGGGCAGGAGGGCTGAGCACGCAGGGCAGGCACCAACCTCATCGGGCTCCTCTGCCCAGCCAGGCTCCCAAACACCACTTCCAGGCAGTAAAAAAGCAGTGAACCTCATCAATGGTACATCTGTTTATAAGTATATTGTGTACGGTATAGATGGTGCAACTGTGGAGAGCTCTTCAATCAACACAGTAAAAAAGAAAAGCAAATGACTTTGAACACCAACGTATTTTTACCTTTTCAGACTAAGCTTTTATTTTGATATTACAAACCATTTTTCTTTATTCACAAATCACGGTTGTGATATAAACACTAATTTCTAAAGACAGATATACACATTTTCTGGGTTTGTAGGGTGTTTTTTTAAATCTGTTTAGAAGTCACTATATTCCACATATGGTAGTAATAATTTTTTTCATAAGTCATATTATCAGTAGTTATTTATATAAGTGAAAACATTCCCAATATATATCGTAAAAAAATTTCAAATGCTTTTCTTACATAACTATTTCAGACATACATTTTAAAATGACTACTAGGAGTACTGTAGGACCTTTATAAACAAAATATTTTCTAATATGGGCTGCACCCTCAACCTTTCAAGATTATTTTAATAGACTAAAACGCCATATAATCATTTGGAGAGTGGGAGTTGTAAAGCCATCTCATGAAAATTAAAATCGCAAATAAATTCTATTATTCCCTACATTAGACATTTTGTGTGTGCAATTCCAAAAAAGATGTATCATCCACACTTTGAATCGGAAGCCTAACATTTGGTAAACATTTTTTCAAGTCGCTTTTATCGTGGTGTTTAAATGAAATATACTTTTTTTTTTTTTATAGGAGGCTTGTCTCATATATCTTATATAATAAATGTGGGGATTGAACTCTTAATAAATTTCAGTTCATCCCTCACCAGTACAAATATATGTTACTGCCCCATTTTTCATAGATTAATATAGTCTCTTTCTCTCTCTGTTTCAATTTTAAAGATAATTTATTTTTCGTTCTTAGATATAAATGCTACAGAAACTTTGTTTTCAAATCTTGTGAAACTTTATTGATGGTTATTGTTCAACTGATCATACTGCATGCACATACGATGACAAAGAGAAAGCCTGATCACAAACACTTTTTTTAAAGCAGAGTTGTTATAGCAAGTTGGCAGGTTCACAGCGGTGAGTTGATAATTTACTAAGGTGCTTGCCAGTAGGCACGCACATTACACATGAGGATATAACTATCTGCAGCAAAACTGTAGCAAGACAGTTTTCTGCTTTATTTATTTAAATACAAAAACAAGAAGACCCGTGACAAACACCCCAACTTAGGTTAACTTGTAAACAGGACAACATGGAAAGAGTCCAAACATATGCACAGACAAACTGCAATTTTTCAACTATGCTTGAAACCGCCACCCGGGCACCTGCTCAGCTGCACCTGCCCGAGACCCAGACAAGCAGCCTACTCCAGCCAGGGCTCGGTCAGAACAAGGTCCCTCTTTCGTCCCAGTTGAAAAGTTGTCTTGGGCCCAATATTTAGCAAAATGACCTTAGTTTGAAAATTAAATAGGGGCAAGTTGTCATGCCTTGAAAAATTGCAGATTGTTTACACAACACAGTCATGTTTCAAAAAGTACCAAGCTGATGAAAATACCATGATTATCTCTACTCAATGATTGCAATACTTGTAAAATGCTTATATAAATCTGAATATGATTATCATATAATTCCATAAAAATGATACGTCTGTCTCTAACAGTTGGTCTACTAGGCTAAATCTAAAGCATCATAGGCTGTGTATTTCTAGAACTTAACAACTCCACTGCACGGATGTAAATTTTATACATTTTTTTTTTTACTGGTACAAAGAATTTAAGTTTTTATTACTTTCTTTTTTGGAAAAAAAAGAAAAAAATAGAAACAGTGCTTTTATCACTTTTTTATTATTGTTTTTTTCCCTCCCATAATATAAAAGTCAGCAATGATATCAATAATTTATTTTACTGGAAGAAATATAAAAAGAATGCTTGTTAATGGTCTAACTAGCAATTTTTGCCTAAATAACTAGTTATGGTTAAATAGCTGAATACTGCCTGGTGGAATGCTTTAAAAGGGTGCCTTCGGACAGCTTTTAATCCGATTTTTATGTACAAGTGTCGAGAAAAGCACCCCTAATAAGAACATAACCTTTGGCTTTGAACAAACAGTGAATAATTTAAGACAGCTGATATATGATAGTTGGTGCAGTGGGGCCCCTTTTTGCTTCATAATTAATATTTTAGCCAAACCCCATTCCCATGTCCCCAATTTCCCCCCTCCCTCCCTCTCATAAACTAAAATAAATGTAGATGCAGAAAAAAATGACTACTGTAGTCACTTACACTCTTACAAAACATGTGATAACCCCAATAGCTTAATATTCAGCATATATAATTCATTTACATGATATAGCACTCTTGATTGTGGCCCTAAAACAGTTTTTATTCATATCTAGCAGCTTTCTAGATCAACCACAAAAACTTCTACAGCCAGCAATCAAACTACGTAACCTTCAGAAATTAAAGACCCACAATATTAAAATACACAGAACAAAATATCTGAGGTATAAGATAAAAAATGTAATTTTTCCTCTTTTTAGAGTTGCTAAAATGATGCACTACTGCATGTATTGCAATACCCAGGCCTCGGAAAGCTTCCTTTTTCCCCACATTGGAAGGTTTTTATGGTTTTGTCATTTAGTATGGAGCAAAACGGCTGTATCCCCCTCGGTATATACTAGCCTGTAATGAAGAAAGAACGAGACCGACATCATCAGCATGGCTCCTAGTCTTGGCATCAGTCAAGGGTGCAAAAGCATTCTGAAACAAAGCAATTTGATGGATTGTTTTTTAAATTTACTTTTTTAACAACTAGATTTGCATTTTCATTTGACATTACTACTGCCCCATCTTAAAAGGCAAGCAACGTTCAGAACACCCCACAGCTGCGGTGCCAATGCATTCCAAGGTCAAGGGAAGCTACTTAACACTATTTTTAATCCCCAAAAAACTAACGAGAAGACATGTGAATAAAGCGTCAAATTCCACTCCTGAATGTACACATGCAGCTCCCTCTGATGTCAGTGAGAACTAAGTGCACTCATCTAAAGACAAAGTCTAGCCTAGAATGGAGATTATTTATGTGTTTCCTTCCTCAGAAACCATGGAACAATTAACAAACAATAATATCTCTCTTCCATAGAATTTGTTAGCTAATTTTCTATTCTTACAATAAGCACAAAACAGAAGATAACTGTCTTCATTTTATTGAACATTGAGGAAAATTAAAACTTCATTTCTTATTTCTGAGTTAAAATTCTAGAGTCTCAAAAGCAGCAGATAATTAGGAGTTCCATGTATTCAATGCTTGAAGTAAATGCTCTGTAATATTTGGATATGGAGAATAGTTCTTTTTTTAATGCACAGAAAGTCATCCATTTCCAATACAGTTTGGTTAAATATACATTTTCCCCTGCTCTCTTGACAGATACAGTTCAGTGCCAAAGGCATTAATACACCTGATAAAAACAAAGTTTCAATTCCTGCCATGTAGGTTCTCTCCCTTCCCTTCCCCACTCCTGTCTTCCCTCTCTCTGTGGCAGGTTTTTTGGGGGGTTTTGGGGTTTTTTTTGTTTTTTGTGGGGGGGAAGGCAGCTACAATTTTGGATATTAATTATAATCAAGAAGAGGGAGAAAAAAGCAGTCAAGTTTCAAGCTGACTGACAGAAGCAGCCTGAAATCTTTGGCATGGCTCTTATAATGTAATCTTTGGTGTGACTTGAACCTGGGGGCTATGTAAATGCAAGGCAAAAAAAGAAAATATGTTCTGCATTGACAATGCATTCCGTTAGTGATGGATTTAATTCTCAGAATGACTAATTATTCCATTAAGGTAAGTGCTCAGCTAGGTGATACTTGCAAAATTAGAAATATAATAACTTACATGCAGTACATTGCCAAGAAATTAAGACATTTATCAAGTATACTTGGAGGATTAATGTGGCATTTTAGCTGCCGTTAGCACAAGAGACAAATTCAATTAACTAAAAGTGAGAAGATGTCAACCGTGCTAAGATCCAAGCAGAGAGTGGAGCGTGGGGAGATGGGGAAGACAGTGATGAGGAAGAGGAGGAAATGATCACTTACCACGGCACCAACGCCGTAGGTGGCTGCTGGAGCAAGTGTGTGGTGGTAGGGGTCTGCAGCATAAACTCGTCCGTAACTGAAAAGAAAACGAAGTTGAAGATTAATGGAAAAATTTGTTAAAAACAGATATTAACAATATTTACAAAATGGTTTTAATGAAATATTCCATTCTATCCAAATTCATTACAAATAAACAAATTTTGCAGTTTCAAAAGCATTATCCTTTGGGAAATGTTAAGGTTACAAATGACAATAAATGTATAATTAGCTTTACTGGACTACTAAGAATCAGCATCAGGCTGAGGAGAGTGGCTGTAGAACAATGGCAGGCACTTGGCTTTAAGGAACATGCTTATTGCACATTCCTGGTCTTTCTACAGAAGAGACAGACTGTCATCCTAAGCCATGATACTGCACGGCTGAAGTCTCAATTTTCAGGCCACGTTCCTGCTACAACCAGGCAAAGACAGTGATGTGAAAATCAGATTTTTGTCTTTTCTGCCCATACAAAATCCTTATAGTTGAAACTACTTCAAAGCTTCTTTACATGTACACCTGGTCGATTTGCTGGCCCAGTCCTCCTCTTCACCTTGAAATACATAGCCTTGCTTCACAGTCCGCATCTGAATGCAGTTACCATTAGTGAGATGGACATGTCAGCTAGATACAGGTTTCACTGAATGTGTCTAATGTTTTTTCCATAATCAAAGAATTTCCATTTGATCTCAGGTGTCACTTATAACAACAAAAGCAATCTTAAAATTATAGTGCTGTCTTGTATACAAGGGCTAATGTAGTACACAAGTTGTTTTAATAATACTCCTGATATCTCGCCCAAAAAAGCATTATTTTTTAGCCTTATGTGAACAGTAAACCCAGACTGGTCTCATTCTGCATAACTGACTTATTTTTCAGATACAAATACAAACTTACTTTTTTTTGGAAAGAGGACAGTTGTCCTATTTTATTATCATGTATTTGCTCCTCCACAAGCGGAATCTGATTAGCCGATTCCTAGGTAATCAGCTGAGGGAAAGCTGAGAAAGGAATGTTTCCATGGCATATGCAATCCTCCACCACCCACTACTGTGGGTCCTGGATGTGAGGTAGAGAAGAGGTCCAAATTACCTGAACTAGACATTCCTACCTACCCAGTAACATCTTCAAGGAAGGAGCAGAAATTACCACAAAGATAGTCTTTAATTCTCCATTTCACTGAGCCAATATTTGCAAGAGTATGACAGATTCATTGCATAGGGAAATCCCAGTAAACCACCTCCTGGGACAACTGTGCTATCTAAAAGGAAAAGGGTTCAGCACTGAAAAGGCAGAGACTTTACATAAACGTCTCTTACTCTCTGACCCAGCCTAGGGTCGCTGATTCGCAGAGTTATATGCTTTTCCTTTTCCAAGGATATATAACCACACAGCTTGATGAAAAAAAAGTAGAAAAAAGTTCAGTAAGTACAAACTTCAAAGGGTACATTGGTTAATATTCGGTATTGTAAATAAGACATTTTTTTCCAGCACCAGAGTCTGGCATTTTGAGCAAATGCAAAGTGTACCTATGTTCCTATAAAGTGTTCTATGGCAAAATCTGGATGTTTCACTACAAAGTACAACCATAGTAGCTGAATGCCTTCAGCTGTACTGTCTTGCTTACTCAGCCAATTCAACTTTCTATTAAGGGCTAATACATTAAAAAGGAGTTAATCTGTTAAAGCTATGAAAGTACCACAAGTGCATGCATGTGGGCTCTATTTCTTACCCCACAGCTATGTTTACTTTAGATTTGGGCAGAGAAGTCCTCAAACCTATCAAAGATGAATATCCAGGGGCATGTTGGGCAATCACCTTCTATCTCATGGTCTTAAACTCAGGAAAATATGTGTAAAAGACTTGGATAAAACATATTAATTCCTCTTTTGCATCCAATATATTGATGAGTGAAGGATTAAATTTATATATCAATTCCATTCAATTACTTGGTATCCATGAACACCTGGCTTCCGAAATTATCCAAGGCAGTTAACAACAAAGAAGCTAGGCAGTTCCCACCGAAAAAAATTGAAGGAAAAATAGCTCACATCAGCCTATGTTGGGTAAATGGCACTTGGTGATCCTTTGACCTGGAAAGGGGACATAAGAGTTCTTCGAGCAGGTTTGACACTGACCCCATACGCAGGAGCCTTTTTCATTGGAAGAACTTCTATAAACCTCAGCCTCAGTAACCCTCCGCATTAGGATGCAAACATTATAATATTTAGAGGTTTAAAATACTTAGCTTTGATAGTAGCCATAACAGAATCTCGTATGGCATGTTCGTCTACACTGAAGTGAAGGAGACACCTTATTTTCCTCTGTATGCCCATTTTAAAGTCTGAGAATCCATTTTAAACATCATAATTTTAATTCTCTCAAGACAAATCTCATTCAAACAGTAAGAAAACATCTAGAAAGGGAAAACGATTCATTTAAAGCTAGACTTGTTTCCAGCACTATAAATTTCCCTCATAACCCTAGTAACAAGGAGGAGGAACTGCATGTACTATTATTATACATGCTTTAATGCCGTGACTATTAATTGTAAAGCAATGGGAATCAGTATATTTTCAATTTTTTATTTTTTTTCGGATTAACTGGTATTACTGCAGTACTGAACAAGGACAATAAATTCAGATCTGCAAGAGTTGCATTAGTTTTGGTCTAATGTAAATGATTAACTACACTGGGACTTACTCTGTGAGCTCTTTTCCCCACTGCTCTGATCCATTTCCTGTTGTAGGGCTGCATTTTGACTCCATACTGCCTCCCATTCCCACAGGATCCTTCACCATGTCACAGTGCCCCACAAAACTGAAAGTCTAATGGGTCACCCACGGCAGGGGATTAGGTGGCCTAAATGCAAGGGCCACTTGTAAGGCAGGAACAAGCCCGAATGCATAGTGCTCAGGCTTTATTAAATTTTTACTATATTTAACCCAACTATGGAAGTAACTAGCAAGTTTACAACACTGATGTAATAAAACATGTTGCTAATAGTATTACATCAATATTTTACAGAAATCTGGACAACTAAGAGGAAAATATGGATAAACAAACACATTAAGCAATTTCAAAAGAAAGAATAAATGACTGTTTCAACCCAGTATTTACTTCTGAGTACATTTTTATTACTCTTTTGCCAAAGTAGTAATAACTTATTGTCAGTGCTTTACATTTTTTTTCATCCTACTGTGTAAACAATGTTTATTCCTTAAAACGAAAGAGTTGTGAAGCAATCCTAATGTGAAAATTGTGACCTAAGTTAATCCTTGCTCCTTAGAAATAATGTTTTACATTTATATTATGATGATGCTGAAGTTTGTACTGTGATATTAACATTAAAAAGATACTTCAGAATTAGCAATGATTTTATTCTTGTTAAAATAAGAAACACTTCTTCCTTTTCTTTTACAGGATATTGAAATTCCACTTGAACAAATGTGTGCAACGTAAACATAAAATAAAATAAAATGTAAAAAGCATTCTTCCCAATCTTCTGTAAAAGAAAATAAAGTATATAAAATTAATTGTGAAATTCTCATTCTTGTACCCTCCTAAATACACTTGACATATGTAAGCATAAACACGGAAGAATATATTTCCAAAGGGGAGAGAATACATGCTCAGATATTATCTGGGAAAAAAATGCATTGAAATTCCTCTGTGATGAATAGACTTTTTTTTCTCCTCAGGGTGACCTCTACCTTCAGAATATGATGGTTTTATTATGATTAATAAATTTCATTTCCACAGAGGAAAGGAACAGTGTCAGCTTAAACTTAAAGCAAGTGGGTTTCTTTTTAAATGCTAATTTTTAAACACACCCTTGCATGACACCAAATTTAGAAGCTCAGAAGGTTAGCAGAATAGATTCTGATTTCCATGCTGAAAATAGTAAGAAGGATTTAAACTTTATTGTCACACTGAAAATCAGTAAGCTAGTTCAGTCACATAGTCATTGGTTCATTTATTCATGATTGTGCCAGCATGCTTATTTCTCATTAAAATTAGTGGCATTTAAATGCTTTGTGATAATTTACACTGGAAATAATCATTCCAGGTAAACAATTTACTAAAATTTAGGACATGCAAATGGCAAAGTATTTTGAATAAATTAATAGCTGATGCAATTATCTGTGTATTTTACAGAATGTTAAATCAATGTATCAAAACCAATATGTGCACTCACAATTTCTTGTCTAAGAAAACAGCTGATGAACAATTTTGATGCACCACTAATTAGAACAAGGTAAGTTCCACTATTTTCCAGTATATCTGGAACAAGTATTCAGGAAAACAAATAGTGTTTGCTAGCATTTTGTTACCATAGTGGCACTGGTTCTTAAGTAGCTGGACTAACACCTTACGGGGAAATAACTAAGAAAAAAATCAGTGTAGCCATGCTAACATCTGTAAATGCAGCTGTAAACTGTTCACCAAAAGCTCAGTGTATAGTATACTCTTCTTTACTCATGCTATGTCTCAATTGCTTCAAGCATTTTCAGTACAGGGTTTAAAATTGCTAAAATACTACATAAAAGGACAATTTGTTGTCCACTGCACACATAAAAAAAAGAGAATTAAAAATGGTAATTGGTTGTGAGATTTATTTTAGTAGGGCCTTTGAAACTGAGTCTCTCTCTTTAGATCATCTGTAGTAGGTATTGCTGAAGTCTCTAACAGAGAAAGTATGTGCCTCTCTAATTGCAATTATCATTTTAGGTTTTTAAGTT